CAAACAAAAAAAAAAAAATGTAAAAGTAGTTTGACTTGGTCAAAATTACATAGACTAATAATATATTTTGGGTTTTGTGTTTTTTTTATTGTGGGAGAAACAAAAACGCATTAAATCAATTAGAAGATAAATCAATTATTATTTTGAAAAAAAAGTAGGTCATTAATACTCAACTAAACTTCATTATTATATTTCTATTAATATATTAATAAATTAAATTATTAATTTTATTAAATTAATTATTATTATTAATACATAACGATGAAATTTATATTTTAAATAAAATTTAAATTCGTAATTTTTAAATAAAATATAAAAATTTTAATTAAAGTATACTAACCTCTTGTTGGTGTAATTAATAAAAACGATTGCATACCCTTAAAACCTTTATCTTTTATGTTGCATATAACGACTATGACCCTGACACTTACCGTTAAATTATTTCATCCGGAACTAAATACACAGCCTTCTACGTCGCTTAAATTTGACCATTCTTTCATATATATATATAAGCATATATATATACATATATACAAAAAGAAAAAAATGAAATTCCATAAAGGTACCACGCGGTTTCCGCGTGTGGTTCCCCCTCATTCGTCTTTTCCATGTGCTGAATTTCACACCCCAAATCCGCTGAACAAAACAAAATAAAATAATAATAATTAATAATAAATTTGTTATTTTTAAACTCAGGCTCGTGAATAATTAGTTTTTTAAAAATTAATTAGTAAACAACAAAATATTTAATTAAATTGACAGGTAATTCATTTTTCAGTGCGGTTGACTATGTTCTCCCTTAATTTACATAATTAAGAAAAAAAAATTATTGCAATAATATGATCATCAAATCATCGTGGACCCACTTTGATTTTTCTCTAATTTCATGCAATAAAATTTTTAATATAAAGGAAATTAATTAATCATATTTCAAGGTTGTTCCAATATAATTCATTATCTTAAAATTTTGTTTCCGGTCGATAAAATTTCTTTTTTGAATTTTGACTTGTATTCTGTTCGATCACCAAAGTTTTTTAACGAACACGTGTCTTAAATATATGTGTGTGTATATATATATATATGTATAAACAAATAATTGCAGGGGTCTGCAAAACCCAGCGGCGGTTACGCTTGTTAAAAATGGAAGAAAGTGAAAACTCAGCTTCCTCTGTTCTTTCTTCGTTCTCTTTGATGATCTCTCTATTAATCTCTGCACAAATCGAAACCCTAAAACTCCTCTCTCTCTCTCTCTGAGGACTGTAATCGCTTGTCCTCTTTCTCCACTAACAGAACCATGGATGACGCAGAGGTTGCAGGAGCGACGCCATCGCCTCTCCGTCGAAGAAACTCCATAGCAACATCGGTCGTCATACCCACTAGGTTTACAGTCGCGACACCGAAGCCTATCCACTCCTCCAGCCTTCGAAACGGCGCCGTATCCTTATTCCCACCGCCGCCACCGCTTGATTTCGAGCTTATTTCGCTTAAATCGTCACAGGCCTACACCTCCCTCAAAGACCTTCTACCCTTCGCCGCCGTCAACTCTCCGACTTCCGCCTCTGCTTCGGCCTCCGAGATCTCTATCCGCAACCGCCTCGTCAAACAGGCTGCCTGGGCCTACCTTCAGCCCACTATCTCCCCCTTGCCGGACTCCTCCAGCTCACGCTTCCTTCTCCGCCACCTTTGGCTCCGCTTCTCCTCATGCTTCTCCGCCATCGCCCGATTCTTTGATCGAGTACTCCGGTTCTTTACAATCCCAATGATGCGCAGATAACGATCACTACTACAGTTGAGTATTATCTTTTTTTTCTTATTTCTTCTTATCATTATTATGATCCGAAAAGAAAAAAACGATCCTTTACGGAGTCAGAGACAGTAAAAGAACTGAAAAGAATGAATTCAATTTGAAATTCAGTTTAAGTACAACGATGAAAGGATCTTCTTTTCCTTTCTGGGTTTCTCTATCTTCCTTTTTTTCGGGGATTTTTTTATATTACAATGTCTACTGCTGTGGTTTTGTACGACGGAGTCTGAAACGAGCTTCATGGAGCCTGTCGCTCATAGGCGAGCTGGGTGGAATCTCCTGCTCAGGAACAGTAGCTTCCTCAGATTGATTACGGAAGTGGGCCTGCGCAGCATTTGATCTGGGTGAGTCGCTCATGCCACGGGTAAATACTGTGGCGGCTGGTGTAGGAGGGGGTGTTGGTGGAAGCCACTTCTTGTTTTTGCTTGTTTGCCTCGCCGGCGACTTCAGCAACGACAGCGACACATTCGCCGGCGCCGGCTGTGGCGGCTCCTCGTTCTGGTCCTCCTTTTCACCAGACTTCTGGAAAGTTTAGGTTTGGTTAGAATTTCACACCACAAGATAAGAACACTTGATGGGTCTTGTTAGGTGTCTGTACACCACATTGTCCTTGTATATGTTGAATTTCTTGATGATTAGAATTGAAAGTTTAATTTTTATATTAGAAATTGAACTTTTCGCATCAAACAATTCTGACCCATTGATGATTAGAATTCAAAGTTTTTATTTTTAGATTAAAAGTTGAACTTTTAGCATCAAAAAATTCTGACCCGTTGACGATTAGAATTCCACTTTTAAATTTTTAGATTAAAAACTGAACTTTTAGCATCGAACAATTCTGACACAGTTCTGAAAATTTGGCAAGTATGGTGTTCAGAATACCTGATTATTAGATGTGGTGAATTTGGTAGATTGAGCAATCAATTGCTGAAAAATTTGGACCAAAGTGGATTGACCCAACTGGGTGCAATTCTGCCAGTACTGAATGAAGAAATCCCAAGCTCTTGCCCTCAATTCCAATATCTTCCTGTCAATATCTGTTTCATGCTTGGCTACATAAGGCCTCAGCAATGTCTCATATACATACCCTGTTCCCTGCATTAAACAAAAATGTATCTGCTCTCAAAACTCTGCCTTCTTTTCCCATCAAAACCACTTTTACTAATACCTTTGTTCTTACCCTGGTTTTTGGATACCACAAGTAGATGAAAAAAGCCACCTTCATTTCACCATACATAGGTAACCTGTAACGTAAGATGGATTAGGACATCGGAAATATAACCGTCTATAGTAATCACGGTAACTTGATGTCGGGGCAAGTTACTCTAGAGTATATTTCTTAAAATCATGTCTGTTCTAATATATTTTTATTTCACAAGATAAAATATCAGAGAAAATTATGTGTTACTGCGTTGGAGAACAGTAAGGAAGAAGCTCCTGCAGTATAATGGAATCTATTTGAGTTTTTTTTTATTTATTTATATATATGTGTGTGTGTGTGTATGTTATTGAGATTTTGGTAAAGGGTTTGACAAAGGTAAAAATAATATTGTAATCTCTAAACTCCTTTCTGTCCACATTCATATTTCCTGTGCAATAGGGCATAGTTTCTGGACAATTTATGCAGATACTGTGTCCTTCATGTGCAGAGATCATTTTCTATTGTGATTTCCATGGAAATTTAAGCTGTCTGAGATATAACTGATACAACTTTGCATACCATGATACGAAGATATCCACGATCCTCTCAAACACTGTCAGAAATGCAACGAGGATCCTGCAAAATTGGTAGCAGAGATTTAGAGCTTTTAATACAAACCCAGATTCATGGTGAATGCATGTGACACAACGAGCGAACGAGAAGACACATGGCTTAATTGTTATATGTGTATATATAAATAGATAGAGACAGGCATATCCTAATTCAAGAAGATGTTGATAGCAGGTAATGGAAACAAAGAAATTGATCATATTATCCTCGTGAAAACATTGCTTTCACATTAATTCTCAAGCATAAATTCCTTCCTTTTCTTCTTCGTGAAAACATTTTTGTAGAATATGCCAAATTTTAATTCACCAAAAGTAGCGACTTAAAACATGTGATTTCCACAAAAGCCCTCTCAAATTATCAGAGGTAACAAAATAATTTTCGACATGTATAATCCTAATTTCTAGAAATGCTATAAGAATTCTTACCAGTACTGACACCAAAATCTGAGTTCCTCAATCTCTACCCTGTTCTTCTCAACTGTTTTATAACACTCAAATGCTGGGTATGCATACCCAAGAATTAATCTGCAAAAGCAAGAAAACCCATAAACTTTCCCTCCGTTTCTCTCATCTTCCAAATTGACCCTCAAGAACATCTGGTGAATGGCTTACACAAAACATCTGGTGATGAAATCTCCCAACATCTTTGATCAATTCCCGCCAAATTCCTGTGAAGCAACGAAAAATACCCACACAAATTCCTGTCACTGGGGTGATCTCGGAACGAAAAGTTGACCAACTAAATTGGGAAACAAAAAAAAAAGGGAACAAGAAACAAAGCAAACCTGGTGAGAACGAAGTTTTTAAAACCTACTTGTCGAGATTGAAGAACCCAGAAACACCTGAAACCATTGAGGAGACGCCGTAAACAGAATCCAAAAACAGAACCCAAGAAAAGAAAAATGAAGAAGATGATATATTCTTTAGAAAAGACAGAGTGTAATTAAATTAAACCTTGAGGAGGAGGGTATCTCTGGGTCCGCAAGACAAAAATGTGCCCCTTATTCTCCTCAGATAAGCAAAAACTGAGGGAGAAGGAAACAAAAATGAAAAACAAAATTGAGATTCTTAGGGAAGAAAACGGTATATACATTTATATATACATACATATAAAGAAGTAGTTATTTTTTGCGAAAGGAAAAATGAGAGAAAGAGGAAAATTAGAGGGAGGAGAGATTTCTTGCCACAGACGCTTCGTTGGTTTTTTAACACGCAAATCAGTAGGGGGGGGGGGAGGAGAGGGATTTCTTGGGGTTCTTCTTTTCCCAACGGGTTTACCGTTTGACATTTATTTATAGTTTTCTTTTTTAAAAAAAAAAAAAATTCTTTTATTTTGTATCAAATATTTCATAATTTTAATTTCGACTTATAATAACAAGTTATTATAATTTAATTTTAACATTTTTTTGTTTATGCTCTGAAAGAAAAATGGTATGATTGACTTTTCCAAATTCATTGACTTTTTTTATATAAAAAAAAAAAAATTAGGGTTGGAGGTGGATGGTGACATAACGGTTTATGCAGAAAGGTCATGGCTATCATGCGCGGCATGCATACCCATGGAAGCTTCAAGCCCCACTCTCATTATTACAGTATACATGCTAAGCCATCTACTCCATCAATAGTCTATTTTATAATTTATATTATTTTATTTTTCTAATTTCAAGCAATTTATAAATATACCCAAAAACATAAATTTATCAAATAAATATAATATTTGATTGTATTATATAAATATAAATATAAATAATATTTTACATAATATTGATCATTTTAATATGACCAGCGACGAATTCGTAAATTATATTTTTAAAATAACAAAAAATAATAATAATTCAATCTGTACATCATCAGTAACGTGAGCCTCTTAATTTCAACGATCCAAAAAATTAAGACACGATCTGCATTAAAAAATTGAAAATGGGTGACGAAAATTATCAGTAATAATAATAAGATAATCAAATAATTAGTGGTTTAATTAAATTTAATACAATTAAGCTAAGGGTTTAATTGTTAATCAGCTGTGAACTCACCTTGATCGTTTCCGTATAGCTAGTAAACCTCATGCAACCTGCGTCTTCCATATTAATTCCTGGTTTTTTCATGGTAATATAATTAGTCAATGAAATTTTATTTTAAAAATATATTTCATTATAATATATACGTACATACATATATATATATATATGTAAATAATTATTATAATTTAAAAAAATTATATAAATAGAGCCCACCCCAAATAATCGCAGCCAAGACCGAACTCCTCTGGACCCAAATTCCTTCATTACACCATCAATGTCTTTTTCATGCTTCGCGAGGCAAGGACGCAGCAGGTTTTCATATGCATGTGCTGTAATTTTCTGCGATGTATTTTTCATAATTAATTAGTTCATTAATCAAACTAATTAATTTCCTTAATTAAGATTAATTTCTTAATAAAAATAATTTAATTCGTACATATATATATATATATACCTGGGTTGTCGGGTGCCACAAGCAGATTAAAACTGCCATCTTCACTAGACCGTACATTGGGAGCCTAATAATCAATTAAAGATTATTATACAGTAAATGTAAAGATATACTTATATGCATTTGTATAACATACCATGAAAGAAATACGTCGCCAACTTTTTCCAAAATTGTCACGAGAATCCTGTAAAATTGACCGTATGTATGTATATATTTTAGGGGTAAGCATGTAAAAAGAACATTCACAAACAAAACACTGATGTATGTATATATATATATATATATATATATATATATATATACCAATATTGACACCAAAATTTAAGTTGGTGAATGTCGATGATTTTATGCTCCATGATTTTGTAGCACTGAAATATAGGGTATGCATACCCAAATATGATCCTGCAGCCATATTATATATCCCGACATTACCCAGAAAATCATTTCCATAATTAACATATAATGAAAACATAATTCATGATTTAATTACTAATACAAAATAAACGACTAAAACGACATCAAATGAACTTGAAACGACATACGTGGGCATGGTGATGACGAGGTCAAGCATATTTCCGTCCGTCAACTTAACTTAATTCTCCTTTTACCCGATACAATTTCTGGGAAAACGAAGAAGGAAATGGAAGAAAAATATTAAGATTACTGATTAATTACTAATTAATTAAACTAAATTTCTGTATCAGATCATGAATCTTTACTTGACGAATATGCCGGAGAAAAGAAATCAACCAAATCAACAAGAAGATGAATATATAGATACATACGTATGTGTGTGTGTGTGTGTGTGTGTATGTATATGATGTAAAGTAGTGAAGTTAAACCTTCAACCAAACAGATGCTTTGATGGAGAAATCTGATTTCTCTGTCTGCGTAAAAACGTTCTTCTGAAATAAGGAGGAGGAGGAAGAGGAGGGAGACAATGGCGTGTACGCCTTTCTGAAAATATATATGCGCAAGAGTGCTGTACAAGGAAGAGGAAGAGATAAGCAACCAAACGAGACTTAAGTCAAAATTAAATGGGTTATTTTATTTTTATTTAAAACTTTGTCTTAAAAAATTATAAATTTAAATTAAATTATATTCTTAGCGCGTAAATTTATTTTTATTATTTTATAATTAATGTACATATATTAATTAATTAATATATTAATAAAATAATATTTCTCTTAAAATTTATAAATAGTGATTAAATTAATATTGATAGATATTATTTAATTAAATAATTAGTATATTTTAGAAAAAAAAAATCAAAATTTTAAATGGAATTATATTTAAAGTCATGAATTTATTTTATATTATATTATAATTAATGTATGTATATTAATTAATTAATAAATATATAAATTTATTAAAGAAAACATAATAAAATTAAAGCTATGACCAAATAAAATCGTCTCGTTTGACTTTGATCAAGTAAATGCCCAGAACAATCCATGTAAGTTAAATTTTTTTTTAAATAAAAATTTGAATTGATAAAATATTTAAAAATGGGAATAAATATTAAAAATATAAGATCCAACATTTTATATTAAAATGGAAATTAATATTACATATTAAAAATTAGAACAGGTTAAATGAAAATAATTGCCGTGGCTCATCCTGAATCAGTCCCGTCTCCTTCTTCCCTTCCTGACCCATCACGTGGAAAGCAAGAAACTTCGTTTAACAATTTTCTTTGAGGCAAAAAATAATAATAATAATAATAATAAATACGAGAAATGCTAGTTCGCGCTCTGCCTTCCACTTCCCGGGTCTTCACTCTCATTCTCTCTTCCAGCTCCAGGTAGTGTAAACCCATCTGCGAATGTGTACAGTTTTCTCATATACTGAATCCTATCCAACTTTCTGGCCTACCCATTTGATTTTCAATAGGTTAACAATCTGTTTCAGGAAAAGATATAGATCAACTTCCATGACTAGAGAAACGGGTCTTCGCGATTTCAATTCTGGAACTAAAAAATCTGTAAATTTTCGACTCTGCAATGTTTCCAGGTACGACCATGTTTTAAATCGGCGAGGTTCTGCCGCGAACTTGAAATGATTGTTGCGTTCTATTGTCTTGTTTGCCTCAGTCACACTACTGAATTATTGGAAATTCAAGCTGATGATCCTACATTCCACGTTTTGTTCATCCCTGGAAATCCAGGTTTGTGTTTGTTTTTGAGATATCGATTCAAGTAGTGTAAATTTGCATTTGGGTGGTGATGGGTGATAATCTCAGGTGTTATTACATTTTACAAGGAGTTCGTGGAATCACTCTATGAGTTGCTTGGAGGAAATGCATCAGTAACAGGCAACTATGTGTTTGTCATTCTACTTTTTCTTTAATGTCCTTTCTTGTTTTTCTTAATGGGATTCAATTTTTGGAGCTGGGAGTCTCCTTGCTAATGGGATTTATTTATTTCTTGTTAACAGCTATTGGGCATATATCTCACACCAAAAAGGTACTCGATCTTTGCCGTTGTCAGGATAAATTTGCATTTACTTTTTTGGTACTATTTACCTTGCTACTGAAAAGAGAGAAAAGGGGTCTAGGGCAATAAAGGCTAATGAGAGCCTTCAGCTTCTTTTTTTGTTCATTATTATGATTGATGAATTGCATATTTACTACCAGTAGCTGCGTGTGAATGTGTAAACATCAATTATCCAACATTGATTCAGTGAACTTTTTTGGCTTGACCCTAAAGGGCAAAGTTTCTTCCAAAATATTCTTACATAGAACTGACAAATTTTCAATGAAAATTGAAAATGTCACTGCAGTCGGTGACTATGCGAGTGTAGTTATGCGAATTTAAATGGGTAGTAGAAGATGTCATGTAATAGTTTGCGGGTTTCCTTACATAGGTACAGCTCTTTCAACCCATTCCCTTAAAAGTAAAACGTTTTAACTTTCGACAATTTTATTTATTAACTAAATAGTGGGCTTGCCAAGTCATAATGCTTCAAAAGATTAGGTCCTTCATAGGCTTTGGTAAAGTGCTTTGTTTATCTCTTGAAGTATATTTAATTTGTAACCCATTCTTCTCTATATGAGTGGTCTCCACCGTTTGGTGCCTTTTTGATATACTTGTTTCTGTTAAAAGTTGCATGAAATAAAATATCTCTTATTGTTTTTAATATGTCTCCTTTTCTCTTGAACTTTAGGATTGGGAACGTGGGAAGTTGTTCTCATTAGAAGAACAGATTGATCATAAGGTAACACCCTGCTTGTTTAGTTAGCTTTGAAGATGTTATTGGCCACACAAGAGTGGCCACAGATGGCTAGGCTTGTCAGCAGACGGCCAAGCCATGTGTACCTTACCAACTTAATTTCATTAGTTTGTACAGGAACTTACCAGCTGAGTTTATTCCTGAAAAATACAACTGATTTTACTTATCAATAAAATTTCAATGAATTCAAATTGTTCCAGAATGTATCAAACTATTCTTATGGAATTTTAGTTTGACACCCAGATTCAACCTCTTCTGCCAAATACTGTTTATCCTTGTTAAGAACTTCCAGTTAATTATTCATAGTTCTCTTCTTCTCAGTCTCTATCCTTGTTAAGAACTTCCAGTTCTCTTCTTATTGATGATTCTCTTCTTCTTTGTCCCTTATGATTGGAAATGATTTGATTTGCTAGGGTATCACATTAGTACTCCATTTGGTGTGATGTTTTACAGATGGATTTTGTCAAGCAAGAACTGCAGAATAGAGAAGTTCCTATAGTTCTGGTTGGTTAATTCTCCATATTCTTTTGTCCATTTTCATGAAAAGGCGAGCATAGAGATTCAACCATCCTTCAGATTATATCTGGGATCTCAAACTATACATGATTGATATGTAAGCAGTAATTAAATGCTAATGACTAAAGCATTTTAGAGAAACAAAAATTTAAAGTGTGTGAGAATTAGTTCTTCTCTTGTATTTATAACATATGCATGTATTTTTCTTTTCGTCTTTCTAGTCAGCACATTTTAATGTTTGCAGAATTGTATGTATATTTGTTTGTTCTCCTCCAAAGATTATGTCTTTAGCAGCTGTATGCATGTTGGAAATGATATTTTGTTAATGTGAAAAAATTGGAGATCAGGTGTTTTGGATGTCAATTATTGTTGGTGATATACTTCATTTCTCTTGAGATTACCTCACTTTCAAGTAGTGGGAATTCTTAAATGTCCCTTATTTTATGTCGTCCTGTAGAACAGGTCTTCAGCTTTACTTTATCCTGTGTATCCCACATCATTTTCTTCTTCACAGTGACTTTTTCTCCAAGGAAGAATTGGAAGTTAAAAGGGCATGATGCTTAATATCAATGGCACTTGCACGTCTTGCTTTTGATGTATGATTAGATTATAGTACTGGATTAGTTGTTCCCCGCATTAGATTCAGATTACTGTAGGCATTTCAGTTGATAGATAAATGGCTGCCTATTTGCAGTTTCTAAGAAGAAATATTTGGTAAGTTATTCTGATTTCTCTCTGTAGGTGGGGCATTCTATAGGTTCATATATATCTCTTGAAATGTTGAGGAGGTCTACAGAGAAGGTCATTATTCCACTGGACAAATCTGCATATTATGATCTCTAATTATTTCTGTGAGGAACCTGCTTCCTGATAACTGATTTGTGGCATTATAGGTGATATATTGCATTGGCGTATATCCATTCTTAGCTGTAAATCAATACTCACGGACACAGTCTCATATTAGGAAGATTGCAGCGTAAAGCCCTTCCTCTATTAGAATTACTTTGAATTTTCATTTATTTGTGTGCTACATATTTCTGAGGTTTTCCAATCACTCCAGTCTTAAAGGGCATATCTTTTGTATGATCACTTACTGTTGTACTGTAAGAATTTGGCTTCAATATTTTCATTACCTTCTATGGGTACTCTAGCATGTTCAAGATTTCATCCTTTTCTAAGCGAAAGTTTCCTGGGTTTTGTTAATTGGACACTTGAATTGGTGTACAAACCGCTGTTTAGTCTAATTTTGAGGTTGATGCTCTACCAATGACATGGTTAGTGGTAACAAAAATTCTCAAGTTTCAGGTCCCCGATTCTTTCTGTTATAATTTGTCTGCTTGTAGCACTGCTGGGATTATTGCCTGTGTGGGCTTCAAGGTTAATCGTCTCAAAATCTGTTGGAATATCATGGTCTGCGACTGCTGTCGATGCTACTTGTACTCACTTGCGACAGGTGAATTTGTGCTAGATGAAGGTGGAAGCTTCTTTGTTTGCGTATGCCAAAAATTAAGCCTTATGTTTCTACCTTGTCTTTATCTATTCCAAAAATTTATTATGATCAGATTTATTTTCAACTTCATTTTCATTCAACTGATGCTAAGACGGTATGGAGACGCCTTGACGTGTTTGAATTTTTTTGAATTTGTTCTTATTTACTTACAGTACCACACTATGCGGAATGTGCTCTTTATGGCAATGACAGAATTTAAAGAGGTACAGATTTTCACACTTAGTCGACTCATGCTCTTAATGATAAGATGTAGTGTGTTGATGCTCTTATTTCTTTCCACTCTCTATCATTGTGTTCCTGCCTACTTTTTGGTTCGTTAGGTTCCATTGTCACAACCTGACCCTGTTTCTCTAGAACTCTACTAAGTTCTTAAAAGCTCAATTTGTATGCTTCTGGATCATTTCAAAAAGAATTCTGAAATTTCAATTTCTCCACTTACTGAAGCTTATGCAGCAAGTGCATCATTCTAGTAGCTAAATATCTCCAACTTCACTTTCATTTCTACATATTGACTGGCCATACACTCAGTTAAACCAACAATAACTAAAAGGATGCTATACTTGGATGCTAGGTTGTGTACCGAATAGATATTATTGAACTCCTGCTGACCGATGCTTTTCTTTAGCTTTCAAAAACACCAAATTGGACATTTATGAGAGAAAATCAGCACAAGATCTCATTTTTGTACGGCATTGATGATCACTGGGGTCCAATGTACATGTTTAACGAGGTGAGTAACAAATTGTCTTTCTAACTTGTCATTCTTTTCTTTCTCTTTCTTCCTCTAAAGGATATCAATTGTATTCTGATCTGGAACACATGCATGTAGAACATGTTCTACAGTTTGCCTGTATCCAACAGGGATGTTCATATGATTTGCATTTGTCATGACAGTTACCCCTTGCCAAATTGATTTTCCTTCATATTCTTGTTCTGCCCTCTTGGGTAAATTGCTTGGGTAAAACTTGCTGTTTAAGATTTTTTGTTCATAAATATTTCACTGAATCAGCATGTGTGCACTTAAAAGTATCACTTAATTCTAAAAAGGGATTTGATATTTAATTCAACAAGGAGGAATACAGGTGAGTTTGAGGGGTCTCACGTTGATCATTAAGCGGTCAGGAATAAAGAAAAAAGGCCGTGAGGAATGATTAAGTGATTTGAAAACTCAGTATGCATGTGACATGCTGCCAAAAAGAAACCTCCAGGCCTTATGATGTTGGCAATGATGATTTGTTATTAAGTTTTATGGTGCTGAATTACTACTGATGGTCAGTTATTATGAAAGGATATTGAAATAATACTGTTTGTTTGAGCTGGAATTTTGCAAATTTTTACTATTTACGGCTGAAGTTGGTATTTTTGTTTTACGATGGGTTAGATAGTTGCTAGCATCATACTATTGGCCACCCATACCATTTGAATCCAGTGTGCTTTTTAATGAGTTTCGCCTTGAATGAAAATGCAGATATATTTTTCTCTATAGATATCCAAAACACATTATAGCAGGTGAAGATGGTTCATAAAATTTAAGAAGGTCCACTTGGGGTCCATAACTGCAGTTTTATAGAGTTACAGAAGCAGCTTTGGTGTTCTAGGTTGAAACTGTTGATAGTTTGATGCTACATAATGTCTCTTTTAAGGCACAGGAAAAATATAAATCCATACTCCCAAACAGATAGTTTATGATGAAGTTGTGAATTCTAAGGAAAAAGGGGAAAAGGCCATGTTTGCAAAAAACTGCCTCATGGCTTGCAATGATGAGGATTGATTGCAGGATTTCTGCTTGCCTTAGAATTTACTTTTGAGTGTTTTTCATTTGAACAACTGGGTTAATTTGTTTTAATTATTTTCTGCAAACAGATATCCAAACAGGCCCCAAAGATTTCCTTGTCAGTTGAAGGAGAGGGGCATACTCATGCCTTCTGTTGCACAGAAGCTGGTTCTTTGTGGGTTGCTCATCATGTAACAAGCTTGATAGAAAAGAAAATTTCAGGTCAGACCTAGAAAAGTTAAGATGCAGATTATTGAAAGCTCTGCAATCGTGTTTCTTCCTGTAATTGAAAGAATAATGATGATGCTAAACTAGGGTTTCCAATTCCCTTGTGTTCTACCACCTAATATTTATTTTCATTTACTATAATTGAATTTATTTACAAAATTTAAATTTTGTATATTAAATAAATGTTTAGGGCTATTAGTATTCGCACTTTCAAAACCTCAACTCTTCGTTTTTTTATCTTTTTTTAAAAAAATAAAAAATTAGGTCGAATTTTAACCTTATATAAATATTTTAATTAAAAAAATTTAATCATTTTTTTCACTCGTAAATTTAATATTATTAAATTTTTAATTCTATTAAATTAAATATTATAAGTTAATTACTGTTAAATTATAATATATTTATAAAATAATAAATTTTATATCTTTAGTAACTTATGACATTCAAATAAAACATACAAAAATTTAATTATAAAACCATATAAAATAATAGAATTTATTATATTGACTTGTGTTCTTGATGAGGAAAAGAAAAATGTTGGTGTTCTAGAATTAGTCCACTTGGTATTTGTTTTTGTTTTTTTTTTTGGGGAAGGCAGAAAAGACCAAGAAATCACAAGATTACTTGCTTTGTAGTGCCCCGTGAACCCACCCTTGATCTTTGGGACAAGAACCTCATAATCTTCAGTACTTTCCATATTTTTAATTTCTATTATACTAAAAAAAATTCAAAACAACAATTTTTTATGAACAAAAAAAACAATTCACAAAATGGCATGGACGAACACCTCCTTCGTATAATTTAATACCTGTTTCACCTTTTATCAACACTCACTCATCTTCTAATTATTTTTACCCTCCTTGTTAATATCGTTGTTTATTATGTCTTAATAAAGGTTTTAGTCCAAACCCAAGTGGTAACTAATCATAAAAAGTCAACCATCTCGTTATTGACCGACAGTATTAATTAATATTTTAAATCTAATCTCCTCCCAAAATCTTCCGCTAATCAGTAATCTTATTTATTAAAAATATAATTAGCCTAACCCAGATCCCAAAATAAATTCATAAATCAATTTTTATAATTTGTAATTAAACTTGCTTTTTCCCTAATTCTACCATTTACGTAATCGATCCGGACCATTTGTTTTACTTTCATTTTTTTTTTTTTTCAATGTACGGTTCGGATCACACTGTCACAACCCAAGACTAACACACGCCGGTGACTCTATCATTCTTCAAATACCTGGCTCACATGCACAATATATAGAGGAAACCGCCCTTCTCCCTCTCTTACTCTCACTCGCCTCATCCCCTTCTTCCCACTTCACCTTCTTCCTCTCGATCTTTCCTACAATGTCTGCCGGCAAGAAAAAGCTTAAAGTGAACACAGTGGCAGTGGACGTGGGTTGCGGCCGCTACTGCAAAAAACCCAATCTCTCCACCATTTTCAGCCCCAAACCCAGATCCAATTACAAACCATCACCCGCCAGTCACCGTAAACTCCACCACTATAACTATTCTTCATCTTCAACCTCCTCCTCCAACAAAACCACCACCACTTACACTGACTGTGGAACTCCCGCCACCTTCTCTCCCACGACCATGGACGTCGACCCTGCCCCGCCATCGCCCGCTCTTTGCTGCAGCTCCGAAGAGTGCCCCAAGAGCACTGTCCGCGGGCTCGGTCGTGTCGGCGGAGAGAGTCTCGCCGTCGAGAAAGAGTCCGACGATCCGTACTTGGATTTCCGGCATTCCATGCTGCAGATGATATTGGAGAAGCAGATATACTCGAAAGACGACCTGAGGGAGCTGCTTCACTGTTTCTTGCAACTCAACTCGCCGTACCACCACGGGATTATCGTCAGAGCTTTCACGGAGATATGGGACGGCGTCTTCTCCGTCAGGTACTCCGCCGGCTCTCCGTTGCTGCGATGTACGCGCAGGTCACGTGACTTCTGAGTGATTGCACGCGTGACTGACTAATAAGATTTTGCCACGTCAGCCGCGAAGATACGAGTTATCACCTCCTAAATTAATTAGGATTTAAATAATCCTATTTTCTGTAAATTAAGTACAAGATTAACGTGCGGGAGTTTTGTAGTCCGACTTTCGGGGGATGTAAAAAAATTTCGTAATTTATATATTTTTATCGTTAAATTTTATTTTTAAAAAATAAAATTTAACGATAAAAAAATTTAAGTAAATTACTTTGAAATTAAGTATTAAATGTAATGGTTAGCAAAATGTTATATAAATCACCTTTTCTGTGTATTTTTAATCTTTTTATTTTCCCAATTAATTTATTTGTTTGTAATTTTGCTTTTCTTAAATTTTTTTTTTTTAATTTCTTTAATACGTAATTTTTTTCTTTTGTGGGTCTTTTTGTCTAATTAATGTTAATTTTATATCAAATTACTACATTTTAAAAATTATTTTCAGATAATTCTAATGAATTTCTAAATAGTTGAAATTAATAGATGGTTTCTACTTTATTAAAATATTTGTCAGTGTAGAAAGATTCTTATCATGATTACAATCAACTTGGAAAAAGGTACGTGATAAATGGTAAGCCATTCTTTATCTAGTAAAATAAAGCTTTAAAAAATTAAATTCCAGTTACTTAATTTAAACCCATTAGTTGACTTTAATTAATTTTTTTATGAATGCAGTTATTATATTTTAAATTTTATTTATGTAACTATTATATTCATAGTTGATTTAAACATTTAATTCCTAAGTTGATCAATTTGAATAAATCATATTACTAAATTTATAACTTAATTTTGAGTCGAGGAAATTTTATTTTTTATTAAAAAAATTATATATTCTATTCGTTTTAAAATTTTTATAATTTATTTCTTATAAAATTTGAATTATTTATACTATATGAAAATTTTTAAGGTACATTAATTTAATTTTAAAAAAATTATAATTACAAAAAGTCTGTCTAGACTAGGACGATAAGGAAAGGAAGTAAATTATTATTAATTATTCTTAATCAAATATTATTTGTCATATATATCTTAATTAATTATAAAATTATTGGTAAAATAAAAATATTGAAAAACTGAAGGAGTTGTGGGTGATGAAAGAAAGGCATTGGGATTTGAAGTTGTAATAATTAGATACAGTTGATTTAATGCATTTTTTAATACGATCATAAATTTTTCTTTTCTTTTAACTTTGACTTTCAACTCTTCCCAGACGCTGTCGTTTTTGTCATTATCACGAATTCTAGTTGGCATTCATATCTCAGCATCCTGCGTGGTTCCACAACCTACTTTGTAATTAAGGAGGAACAGAACTGTCCTATAGTTAAAAACTTTATATTTTATAAAAATAACAAATATGTGACAAAATTAATTACAAATATCTTAATTAATTCCTAATTACTAAAATACTACATTTATAAATTAATCAAAAATATTAATATCTCAAATTAATACTTACTTGATAAATTATTACAGTTCTTACTTAATAAATTCATTTATATTTAATCTGTTTATATTATATATTTTAATTAATTATCAGTTTAGTTAAGGATATATAGTACAAGATCGTATACATTGTTGATATATCTTCAATTTTAATTATATTTATCTATATTTTATGATATAATTTATTAATTTTTTTTAATATTTATCATAACAAATATTTGATGTATATCATAAAGAATTTTTATTTATGAAAAATTCTACTAGTTTATTTGTAATAAATTTGTTAATCTATTAGTAGCGTACTCTCAAATTATATGATGAAATATTTTTTTATCAGTTTTGTATATGAATATAAACATACTGTCAAATCACGTAAAATTCTTATAATTTTTTTTTTTTTTACTTTGATATGATTATACATATTTTAAAGATTAATTTTTCCTACTGTGTATATATATATGTTATTAATAATTTATTTTAAATAATATTAATTAAACTATATATAGTACGACATTAATTTAAAACTTAAAATCAGAACTAATTAAATTAAAAATATATTTGTCAACATATTAAAGTGTTATCCTTTCATAGGTATTCTTTATACACATATATATATATATATATTAATTTAGTGGCCATTAATGAAGTAAGTGGTCCCACTTAAGTGAAGTTAATTACATGAAACTATGGTCGTGTAAATTAATTTTAATCACTGAACCTTTAAAAGGGAACAGCACCAATTAAGTGAATTTCATTAGTGTAAATCTCTGACGTTTTCAACTACCACCAATGTTAAATTTCATTTAACAAAGGCTAATTACTTGTTTGAATTCATTAAATACATTTCTAAATCTATTAATGTACTTAACAAAAAAAATAAAATTATCAAAATTAAAAAAAAAAAAAGTCAACTGGTCAAACTTTATATGGTTAAAGAGGTATGTATTCGTAACATCGTAATAATAATAATGGATTTAATGAGAGGGTGTGGTGTGTTTTGAAGAGTTAGTCAAATCCTTCTAAAAGACAACAACATGTTAAAGCAATCTTCTTGTTTAGTGGAGAACACAAGGGACCTTCATCATTCCAATATTTATTTATTGATTGACAATTAATAACTATATATATATATATATACATATGTATCACACACACATATTTTAATTTTCAACATTCTAAATTAATGCAAGCCCTAACCTAAATAAACCCCAAAAAAAAAAATCACCTACCAATAACAACGTGGTTTACTTACTAATAAAGAGTAAACTAATCATTTTTATTTACTTACTAATAATAATAATTCAATGAGTGAATACATATAGTTAAAATTTTTATATTTTATTTTATTATTACGAGTTTAATTTTATTAAAAATATAAATTTTTATTATTTTATAAGTGTATTATAAAATAACAGTAATCAATTTAAAATGTTTAATTCAATGGTACTTTTAAAATCTAAATATATATAATCACTGTTGGTATCAATATTATTTTAATATTTTTTGAGAGGGTAGAAAAATATAATGTGAAAAGCAAAGCTTTATAAGTAGGCACCATGATCATCTTTATCTAAAAACCTTGATGCCATTCTTTAATAATGGGAGACATGTTAATGCTGTTGTAGGCAAACATAGATATATATATATATATAGATATATACATGGCCTTTTTTATTATTAGAGTTAACAAATCATCTACACATGTTACTATATATATATATATGTATATTATTCTTTATATTGGTTAGAAATAAAGAAATTAAAAATCAGCCTAAGTGTGTCTAAGAGGGTGTTTGTTGTACTTAGCTTTTAAATCTCATTTTTCTTTACTTTAAAATCATCTCTATAATTAAATGGATAAATATATATAATATTTCTAGCAAATGTTAAAATCAAAAGTTATAATATTATAAAATTATTTTGGATTTTATTAAAATTTAAAAAATTTATATATTTAATAAATAAATATTTTATTTTAACAACACTTTTAAAACTCATAACCTAAACAATAACTATCTCTGACTATTCATTAAATTAAATTCTACAACTCTATTTTAAAGGGTATTGATTTTATTTGTCGTTAAATAATTTATTTTTATAAATTAAGATTAAAAAAAAGTGAGAATAATAATTTTTTATAGTAAAAAATAAATGAATTAAATTTAAGTGGCTACGTTTAATAGCATATGGTATGGTTTTGCACATGTTGTGACATTCTGTCACACATTTAGAATGGAGTGGAAGTGTTTTGAAAAGATGAGACAACCATAAAAGGTTGATTTTTTAATATAAAAAAAAAAAAGTACTTTGATTTTAATTCCAATCAACATATATAAAGATATTGAGGGACCCCCCCTCTTAATTATCTTTCTTAAATTATTTTTAGCCAATTAATTTTTCTACTCCTTTTCACATTTTTGCATATGTTTTTCATTTGTTCATTACAAAAAAATTGAATTAAATATATATATATGAAAATAATTATAGCCGACACTATAAGTTAAGAAAATACAATCATGGGTCCTCCTTATAAAATCTATTCCCTTTAATGTACAACTAGTAAAATTTAATCCAAATAGATTTATGTGGGTTCTTATTAAAATTTCATATTACTTTTATTTACATATTTATAAAATAAATTTTAATTTTATGTATGATTATATTATAATTCTTAATAAAGTACACGTTAAAAAAAAAAGAAAATTTAATAATTAAAATTTTTATATTCTATTTAAAATTACGAGATTAAATATCATTATAAATATAACGATCGACTTTCTATATTATATTAGATTAAGATAAATTTTAATGAATATATTATATTTACGTAAAAAAAAAAAAATTAGATATTTTTTAAATTTCTTTAATTAGAGTGAGAAAAATGAATTACAAACTCCATATTACTTACATATATATATATATATATATATGTATGTATATATAAAGAGTGGAGGAGTAAGGGATAACAAGCTGAGTGGGAAAATCTAATATAAGCAGTTAGGGGGGTAGGGTTGTCCACAACAAGGACAGTGGGTGTCCCAAATGTCCCTTAAAGGATTACCCTTTAAAATTGCCAGTTTTGTAAACGCCGTTAAATGTTCCCTTTCAAAGCATTATTAAGTGCTCTTTAACTTCAGTTTGTGTGACTCTCTGGCTTCCGTCAATAAGGGTGACCGTTGTAACCTATAAGCAGCCTGCAATGCAAGCTTCTCTACTTCAAAAAAAATCAAATGGGTCCTTTGCTGGGTCGTAATCACATTAAGACAAGTACACCATTCCATCCTACTTTTTCTTCAAAGATTACCTTAATTTATTTTTTTAATAGTTTATAATTAATGGGTAATATTCAAATTATTATTATTATTTATAATAAATACGCCCGAATGGCCCAACAGTTTGAACCCGGCTCAAGTTGGGAGTACAGAAAAGGCCCAACGAGCCCATTTACTTGCTGACTGAGCGATATATATTGCTTTCGCCGTTGGTGTTCTTTCCGATCTCTACGCATTTCGCCGCTCCACCGGAAATTCCCTCTGCCCCTACCGTACTCCAGCTTGAGTCCTGGGAATTTGACGACGGACTTAAAAAGCCACCTACAGACGCTTTACGCCCAATCATTCCGGATAACGCTTGCATCCCCTGTATTATCGCGGCTGCTGGCACAGAATTAGCCGATGCTTATTCCCCCGGATACCATCATTGCTTCTTCTATGGGAAAAGAAGTTCACGACCTGTACGTAAAATCATAATTATTGATACGGGCATTTTCCACGTAAAAATGGAATATTTTGTTACAATAGAAGCTGAAGTGACGTGGATTATTCGAGAGCATATTAATGGTTATTTTTCTATTGTAAAACAAAAGTCTTAAAAAAAGTTAGAGCCCATTAAGACGGTTCTTGGGCCCATGATGTAAGGGCCAAACTTGGGCTTGGTTTGTTGGGCTGATTGAGTTGGGCTCAAGCCAGGCCATTAGATACTTTTTTAATTATTTTATCTATTTTCATTTGTTTTTTTATCTTTCAAGTTTTGTATTGGTCATATAAGTCAGCATACATATACGTATATGTATATGTATACGAGTGAGTCAATTAATGAAAGATTCATAGAAACAAGAATTCAAAGATAATAAAAGGTGAAATTGTAAAATGAAATAAAGCAATTAATAAAATGAAAGAGCAAGGGGGAAAATGACTGCAACCTGCTTAATTTAATTGGGCGCAGTCAGATTCATTCATGCGTCGCCATCTCACCCGTTCCCAAGCAGCAAATTTCATCATTTCAACTATACATACATACACCCTTACAATTAATCAAAGAGGGTATGTATATGTATATACACACAATAAAAAATCTATATACATCCTAAGATTGGAGTGCTGGATAAGTAATTTCTTGCTCTTTTAAATAAAGAACTTTATTCGGTAATATTCTAACATATATAATATAATGTAATGTAACAATTAGTAAATTGAAATGGGTAATTCTTTTAATTAGTTTTAGCATTTTATAATTAACACAATCTTATAAAAACAATATATTAGGCTCACAAACATCGTTTAACAATAAAAAGCAGAAGTGAATCCAAAGACGAAGAGAAAGTTAAAGATTAACGGAGGAACCCTCATCAATTTCTATGGTATTTTCTGTTTGGTCGCAGTTTTCACGGAAAATCATTTTCTCGGAAAATGAACAAGTCATTAATTGGTCATTTTGTCACTAGTTACCACACACACCCATGTTTAGAAAATACGTATTGGTTTTCTACAAACATTGTTGACAAGTAAAAACCTAAAAAAAAATAGTAAATGCAAATTAATTGAGCATTCGGGTTGGTAGAAATTTAATTACCAAAACCATATGAACAACATTTGCTTGGAAGATTGAGCTTTAGGTTTATATTGTCATTTAGGGATTCCAAAGTTAGAGAAAACCATGGCAAGAATTTTTGTGCCAAACTTAGAGAAATAATCCACCCTCTACAAAACATTATATAATCAAAATTAACTCACACTTAATTTATACTAAAGTTTTGTTTTAACCAAATTAAAATATTATTTTATAATCTAATTGTAATATAAGTAAGAATTCAACTTTTTGGGCAACTAGTGTATATATATTACACGAACCCAAAAGAGAAAAAAAAATAAAAAAAATAAATATCGATATAAATTTTATAATTTGAATTTTCTTATATAAATTATTAGTTATAGATTATAGTAAAAAAATATATATATACATACATAAAGTTTATAATATTTATTATCATTTTAACTAATAAATATTATAAAATTCATATCATATATATATATATGTGTAAAATTTATCACTTATTAACTTTTTAAATAATACATATTTCATTAAAATTCTAATAAAAAGTAAATATTAAATTTATATATAATACACACACACACACGTATGTGTATATAATTGGCCTAGTTGTGTAATTTACAATTATATTTACATTGCAAATCGTGTTATAAAATGACAGAGGGCCGCAAGGTTTAGAAGCTTCGCTGCTCGAGCAAGAATCTAAGCTCGCACCGCACGGTATGCATTCTGTACAGAAGCCAAATTTCTTGAAGGCGGAGCGTTCGGGACTATTTTGCTCATACATCTACTATAATATATGTATGTTTTAATAATATACATTTAACTATTTTTGGATTTTAGGCAAACCCATAAAAAAAATGTCAGCATTATGGAATTATATATATATATATATATATTGTAATATTAAACTGCTCTGGTACCAAGTCATCGATACCATTACTTATATCACTATAATTTAATAGCAAGAAACTGGATTTAGCCGCAAAATTAGGATCGTTGCTTGAATGACCCAAGAACTCGATTAATTAAAAAAATATTTTAGTGCATTATAAGAAAAATTAATTTTTTAAAACCAATATTGGCTTGTATTACATTAATTAATTTATAAAAATATGTTATTACCCTAATTAAGAAATATAAAAATAAAGATTTGAAATATTGAATAATAAGGGTAAAATAAACAATTAAAGTATCGTGTTATAGATATAGTGTATGATATTCTATTTTGTATTTGTACGTAAATGAATTTTGTTTTTACTTGAAATCGACGGCACGAATTTAAACATTATTTTCCACCTCAAAAAGTGCTTATGCTATGATTTTATTTTTTAAGGTAAAACCATAGTTTCCATTTTAAGGCATGTAAATAAAAATGTCTTTACACATTTCACTCTCCCCACATATATATATATATACATCTGCGTCGTAAAGTAACTAATTATAAATGGGTATTAATTGATTTCAAAATTTTTTAAAGTATAATTAGGTAAAAAAGTTCAATTTCACATTTAATTTAAAGTAAAAACATATTTAAGTTTTGTATAAATTTAATCCCGTTAATTAGTATAAAAAATGTTTGATAATTTGAAGATTTTTTCAATATAATTTATAACAAAGACTATAAATTTAATTTTGAAATTTTAATATCTCAACGGTCGTCTCAGGCCACTCGTTTATATAAGCTTGTCGAAGAATGTGTCTTGTTTTTTTTCTTGTAACATTTATTTCACTTGAAAATGAAAGTATGCTTTGGATTAATTTTCCTTTTTCATTAAATTCAATTTTGAAAAATAAATTAACAAAAGAAATTCAGTTTTGAGTAAAGAAATTTAAATTAATAACAAAATTTATTTTTTGAAAAAAATCAACGTGCATATGTATATGTATATATATAAATATATGTGAGAAAATATTTACATCAACAAAGCTGAATTGCAGGTGGGTTTGTTTTCTTTCTAAACTTGTAGCTATTTGACTCATTTGAAACAATGAAAAGGAAATATTCCATGTATGTTCAAGTGGTCACAGAACATTATGTTCGGAAAATTAATTTTATGAGGAAATAAAAAGTGTATTTTTTGAATTTAATAAAAAATTACCCATTTTCGAAAATTATAATTATATATACAAATTATCTGTAATATGTGTATGTACGTATATGAATGTGTATATGTATGTATGTAAGTGTGTTTTTTTGGGGGAGATGTTGGTTTAGGACCATAATGGTGCAGGTGCAAGGATATGAGTGTAGGACGAGGCCAAAATTCTGCAATGGTATGTATCTATCAAATGATAAAGACCCACAAATTCAAAATCAACGGCCATGATCATCCTCATCATGTCAGAGCTGACAGGTGTCCAGAGACGTACGATCAGGTGGAGCGCATCCAATGGTGGATATTGCTCAATCACAGCGGCACACGTGCGCTACGATGATCGGCACTTCATGGGATCTACCTTTTTTTTTTGTTTTAATAATTCAGCCCCCACATGAAACTCAGTAGTTCATTATTATAACAGACTGCCGTTGAAGCAACCTCTTCGTTTCATCGTTGGGTTTCTTCTTTCGGCCACAGTAAATATTATATTTGTCTTATTTTAATTATTAAAATATTTATGATACTACCCCACTAATTCCACTTTATTTATAAATATATTATTTTTTAAAGGGTACGCATATAAATTATATATACTTTTTTTTTTGTTAAAAATGAGGGTATGGGTTTTATTCTAAAATAATAAAATAAATAAAATCAAACAATATCTTTATCAAATTTAATTAATAAATCTAATGGTTTAATATCTTAATTAATAAATTATTATACTTCTAATACACGCGACGCCGGTTAACACGAATTAAGGAGAAAGATAGATAACTTTTACCTTGGAATGATGACACGTGCTAGGTGCTTCCACACGTGTGACTGGTTTCCTTTCTCTCCATCCTCACTCTAATCAGAGATTTAGATAGAAAAAAGAGGTTCATCAAAAAGTTTTTCAGATTATCATTTCTCAAAACTAGCTAGTAGCCAATATACACATCTTCAAATTTTTACTTAAAAAAATCTGAAAAAAGTACCTAAAATGACCGAAAAGTAAAAAAAAAAAAAAAAAAAAAAGGAATAAGAAGAAGAAGAAGAAGTAGTAAAAGAAAGAAGAGGATATATAAACATATGTATTTATATATATAGGTCTGCTAATGAAGATGAAGTAAGATGTATATCTTCATCTTGGATCATCAACATCATCGTCGTCGTCTTTACTTTCTTTAATCTCATCGTCAGCTTCTAATAACGAAGATATACATGCAGTATTATTACTGCTAATGATCTCGTCATGATCATGGGCTTCCATGGACGAAACGCAAGGTGTCGACGAAGAGTCATCGGAGGAAGACGAGGATGTATAAAAAGACAACGAAGAAGACGGAGAATCACGAGAAAAAGAACAAGTAGTTGCAGAAGCTAGAGAAAGACCCACAAGTAAATCAACGAAAGCTCCAACAATATATCCATGGTTGCTCTTTCCGTTAACTCTCAAATACCAGCAAAGCAACACTTCAAGACCTTCCCAGTCTTTCAACCCGTGAGCCAGCACCATCTCCTCCATGGACGTCCTGAAATCTTCATAAGGGTCTTGGGACTCCATTGACAAAACCGAGCTTTCTTTGAAAGGGAACCCACCAGGCTTGGCTTCCTCTAGTATCGAACTCGTCTCTCCCGGCTGGAAAAAGAGCCGTTCTGACCTTAGCCCACGAATCACCGTCTCGATGCACTCGGGGGCTGACTCGTTATCCGACGCGGCGGTGGAGAAGCTGGCTGACTCGGACGAGTTGGTGAATAACCAGGAGTCAGGAGTACTAGTGTCCGCAGCTGGGATTGTAGCGTCAATGTAGGCTGAGTTGATGGTCTTGAAGATGGCATCTGGGGTAGTGGTTCTGAAAGAGAGGGTTCTTGGTTGGTGACAAGAAGGCCATGGCCATGAAGGTTTTGAGATGGAGGGGTTGGAGGAGAGAAAACGAAGCTTCATTTTCTTCCCCATAAGGTAGTTCTGGTTTTTTGAGATACGAAATGAATTGATACGAAGATAGTTTATGTGGACATTAATGGCGGAGTCAGAGAGCTGGTTGGAGGAAGAAGAGGGAGGAGATTTTGAATAAGTGGTGAGGCCGGCCAAGTGGGGGAAGTTGAAGCGGGAGGGAGAGAGAAGTGGTGGGGTAATATTGAATTTTTTTTTTTTTAAATTATAATTGCAATAAATTATTTGTTTCAGAATTTAATGCCATTAATTATTTTAGTACTTGTGTGTTGAAGTTAGATATAGCTACCAAGTTTCTATTTTAATTTCTTTCTTTTATTAAATTGCATTTTTTTTGACATATTATAATATATATATATTAAAGTATTAATTTCTATGGTTTATGTAAATATTTACGAGGGGGTCTTTGCATTATTTCCTTGCCATGTTAAGTATAATGACACGAGTAATTAGAGATTTTGGTTTACTTTCAAGAGATTTATATATATTTTACACTAAGTAATTTATTTCAAAATTTCATTTTAATAACACAAATAATATTTTATATTTATTTTAACAATTTATCTAAATATACAATAAGTACTTTAATCTACTTATAATAATAATAATAAATGAATTAGATTGATCGTCTTATTTATTTTAGCACCCGTTATAAAATATTATATTATTTTAAAAAAATATATTATTTATCATAATTAATAATAGAATATCTAGTGACTTAAATTTTTATTTATTTTATATTAATTTTTTAATATAAATTAAGCTGAACCAATTAAATTATATGGGTTGGATTACATCACATACGTAGTATTAAGATAATAACGATATTTTTTTATTGATCTAATCTACAAGTCATCGCGATTTTATTATACACAAACAACTGACATGTATCATTTCAAGAGAATTAAAGGGATTATTTTGTAATTAAAATGGAATATGTAATTATTAGATAATGGTATATTTTCAATTAGAATAATTTAAAAAAGAAAATCCAAATTAGAAGCAAGTTTATGAAAATTAGCAAAATAGGGTTTGATGTTGATGTGTAAAAATCACAAATTTCCAAATTAAATACCAAATTTAGCAGGCTATATAACATCATTAAGACAATTACATTTTCTCATAATAGAATACGATGTCTTAACTTTCCTTCGAAAATTGGTAAGTATAGTTATCTGAAGTTGATGGACGACCAAGATCTTCTCTGACCAGGTGGATCTACATCATTTTCTCATTTCATTATTTCCTTTAATTCCTCTTATATTCTATTTATTTGTTTTCTTTTAAGGAAAAACCCATTTATTTATTAATTTTTTTTTTAGTAATTACCCATTTAGAAAAATCTATATATAATATATATATATATATATAATGCAATTGATGGTGCAAAAATCATACGAGATTTGGAGGGAATTGGGAAAAACATTAAAAAGGAAGTTCCAAAAAAAAAACAATAACAATTGGCAAAAGGAGACATATAAAAATAAAAGTGTAAGTAACTCTCTGTCACATGCATTTCCAGTGAAGAGATCGAGACCTTCAAAGATAAAGAGACTTTCGTTTGTTTACTCACAATTTTAATATTTTATTATATAATAATTTTTAAAAATGTATTTATTTTAAATTTTTATAAATTATATATTTAATAAAATATTTACCTTCAAAAATTAAATGAGATATATGATAATATATATTTTTATTTATTTAATACCCATTTTTAATTTGTTCCAAAAATTTTGAGGGTTTGAGAATTTTCATCATGTTCAATGTAGATCAAAAGGGGGTTGGGCTTGCAGGATTCAGCTAATCCAACGGCTAGAATCCACTGACTAGAGTCTGATCATCGATGGGTAGGTAGGCCCATTGGGACTGGAAGAACATTCACTTTGTGGGCATAAGTAATTTAAATCAAATTATCTTTTTCTCTGCGACGGTCGAATTGAAGATTAATAATGAGTAACATATTTAATGTCAAGTACACAATAAAAAGGGGACCATCATGCTGCAAATTGAATTTTTTTTTTTTTTTTATAAATTTAAGTGGTCCATTCTATTATTTTCAACTCACAAATATACACACATCACATATATATATATATATATATATATATTCTGGGAAATATATGTTTTCAAAAAAAAAAAAACATGAATATAATATAAATTTGATAGAAATAAAAAAAAAAAAAAGGTATTATAATTCATTATCAACTATAAATTTTAACTTGAATTTAAATTTAAGTTTGAATCATTACCGCATGTAATTTAGATTTCATTAGATACTAATTTTGCTCACATTCAAAAAATTGATGATACATTGTATAACCCATATGTAAAATATTGATGTGTGTACTATTGGATTGAAGAGTAACGTTCACAGTAGGAAAAATATAAAAAAAAAAAAAAAAAAAAAAGAAAACTGATGGGTGTAATTAGGCCCACCTGGCTCATGGTCCATGTCGACTTGAGAATTGCACCCACGAGCCATGATTGAGTCTGGGTCTGGTGTACTAATTACATGGTCCAGCGAGATCAACCAAAAGATACTAAACATGAAAGTGAGCGGAAGATCTCTCATTCATTTAAAGATCAATATATATATATATATATATGTGTGTGTGTGTGTGTGTATGTATTTATGTGACATTAATTAAAATTTATATAAAGAATGAAAAAAAAAAAAAAATGTATTGATTTTTGGGTGCGATTGGAAGTAGGATAACATTAATTAGAATGCATGATTCGGGAATGGTATTGAAAACCTTGTTTTTGGTTTTTCGCTTTCAAAGAAAGGGGCCACCTTATCAATTATTCCTTATACCTGGCCCTTACTTCCTATCCATTCATTTCTATATGTACCTAAAATTATATAAATAAAATGAAAATAATACTTCTATTTATAATCATATACATACAAATATGGAATGAAACCCAAATTCTATTAATAGACATACATACCTACCTTCATAATTTGTATATTTTTTTTTTTAGTAACTTACTTCTAATGTCGCAAAAATTACTAGGTATTTTTTTTTTTAATGATTTTCACGTATTAAAATTAAATCTAACTTGATTAAAGATAAATTTATTTATACCGAATCTCGAAAAAAAATCTTATAAATTTCGTTTTAAATGAACATAATCGTTAATAATTATAATATCGAGTATCTTGTTGAATTAAAAATTACTTATTTTTTCGTAATACTAAAGTGTAAAGTGATTAAAGAACTTTTAGAACAAGAAAATAGCTCACTATTGTTTTACCCTGGTAAAGAATAACACAACAGGAGCAGGAGGGGGAGGAGAAGAGTGGCCACTCACCATTCTTGATATCTCTTTTGATTATCCACAAACACACAACACCAGTAATCATCTTCGATTTTTCCTCTTTTTTTTTATTTTTATTTTGAATGGTTGTCTGAAATTTCCGTACATAAATAATTGAAACATTTCTAATCAAACAAATTTTCATAAACAAATAATTCAAATCAACCAAATATTACAGTCTTCGATCAGTATTGCTCATAAATTATGAGATATTTTATTCACCAAAACCTACATATATACATATATATATAATACAGATATATTGCTTGGTAGAACATTAGGGTTTAAATTAAATTCTGGGTACATAGTTCAAAATATAATGGATAACCTTAAAACATGACTACCTTCAATGGATAGACAGGTAGGTAGATAAAAAAATCTTATTGCCTTTTTGGCATGCTCTTGTGCAAGCTCATGTTATGTCCACTCGAGACCACAACCAAATATTCAACACGCAAGAATCATATACACCAACGAACTTTGGCTCCATGATTCAAAACCATTGTTGATGCAATAATAGAGTATGTCGATCTCCTGTCTGAACTCTCTGCTTCTCTTGTAAGGAATCCTTGAAAAAACACGAATCATGTGCCTAACAACAGTGCATTTTTGGTTCCGGGTTGTTCCCAGATGCTCAATCATTGTTAAAGCAAAGAAAGCTCCAGAACCGTTCATTTTTCTTGTGCATCAACAAAAAAATTTTATGTATCTGCTGGATTCCTTCTTTTTCATATCATAAAAGGAGACGAGAGAAAGAAAATAACTTACAAAGCAAAAGAAGAAAAGGACGTGGACTGTGAATTCTTTTGGTAGTTTCTTATTAACAACTAGCATTGAAGCAGTTTACCAAAAGACAAGGTCTGCGAATTAATGTAGGGAGACTTCAATCTTATGGCTGAGAGACCCTACAAAAAAAATTTCATTCAGATGATAATCTTTTTACTCCTCCAAATCATGTATAGCATAACATTATACTGGGATCAATAGTATTACTATCGTCAAAAACAAGCAAACAAGGTTCATTTTATCTAAAAGAACTGCATAAAACAAACCAATTTTTTGGGAGGCACCCTCTGGGAGGAGAGGACCCCATAGGTCAGAGAACTGCCATTGGTTTTGGCTTATAGACAACCTTCATCTCCATCCTTGTCTCATGTCCAAAGCAGCCAAATTTGCTTAAAGAATGCAAAGGCCACTGGCCAATCGCATTTGGATAGAGGCTCATCCAACCACCAGTCTAAGCACACAAACTGGATCATGTATTGCCATATTGTTCTACTGTCTGCCATATCCTTCAGCCACAGTTGAAGAGATTCTCCCGTGTTGGCATTGTTGCTCCTGTTATTTTCAGTTAAAAGTAAATCTAATTAACTAACCATTCCGTAAATAGCTTAAGCAAAGAAAAGAAAATCTCTTTTAGATATTTACATTAAAGCATCATACAGGCACAAGATGCCAAAACTTTCAGAAACATGAGGAGCATGACTTAATCAGCATTCAATCAAGGACGTAGTCTTTTATTTGGATTCAGCAACCAGCCACTGCATTAGAAGAAGCAAAAACAAGCAAACACAAAGTGGCTTGTATGGGATTACAAAGGAAAAGGCACCCTGGCATCTAAAATTCTTTAACCAAAAATCATCTGGTTCAATTGTCATTTCATTCCCATTTCGGTCCAATTCACATTTCATTCACATAATTCCTACCCATCAATTTTATTTTAGTGTTGACTTGTAGACTAAGAATGTAGCTTTATGTTTAATCTCCTCGTACAAAAGTGTGGTGAGGGGGTAAGATCAAACATAAAAACCATGTGTTCATTTTACATGTTAAGAGTAATACAACATATAGGGGTACAGCCGACCAACACCAAGGAACATAAAATTTGTTGTAAATAGGCTGGTTTTAGCAACCAAAAGTAGGACTGATCAGGCACATTAATAATCACAGATTGATGAACAATTCAATTCAACCAGCTAGTACTCAGTGCCATGCTATATTCAACCTCATCTCATCACTGTCCTTTTTGGTGCTTCATATTGTTGTCGTTGGCAACTAAATGTTCAATTTATGGAAGCAACCACCATACACCCTTAGTCAAAAGAGAGGGCAGGAGGGAAAAGGAAAGTGTGTATATATATATTAAAATCACAATGCCGGATATATCTCCTCGATAATGCACCAAAACAAGTTTAAACCCTGCTAGTAAAATTGAAGTGCCAAGTTCCAGATCCTTAATTTTATTCCTTCATTTGCTAATACATTTAAAATAAAAAAAAAGAAGAGAGAAAATCATCAATCATTTGATCCAAAGAGAGAACCAGAAAGAAGGAGCATATTTCCATTCTATGCCTTCACATGGATAAAGAACGTTCTCCAAAATCCTATAACTTCACATGGATAAAGAAGGTTCTCCAAAATCCTATAATGTTGGCTATGCAAAAAAAATGAGACTTAAAAACTTTGTTCAACACAAGGTTAGTCTAGAACCATGCTTCTTTCAATGCATATCCTGATAGAACTTAAGTCATTGGAAAAGAGAGCATATTTTTCAGGTTCTAAACCTTCATCACAAAACGAGAGCAGTTCCTCTAACTACATCATAAACAAGTAGAATCTTCCCAGCATGTCATTTCCTCTCAACTAATAAAAACTAAACTAATATTTACCAAAAAATAAATGTAATTAGCAGATATATTTTTCAACGAACCTACAAATTATGATTGAGCAAAAGGTGATCCAGAGCACAGTTCCAACCTTAGAGAGCTAAAGATTCAATAACTCCTGCAAGCTAAGATTGTAATAGATGTTGATTGCCTGCATGAAGAAAAATGTCTAAAGTCATCCATTTCAATAAGATTATTGTATGGAGTAACAATTTGCATACTTACAATTGGCTAACTCCCTGGGCTAGGCTGGCACTCCCTTTTACCATGATCAAAATATCAAGAAGTAAAATTCACATCTATAAGATTGTTTTACACCATGGCCCAGAAAGATTCAATTTAAATTGGATTCTATCATTTCATTCTCTTTTTTATTTACCTAATGCATTCCCAGTTCTATAGAACAGGACTAACATCAACATTTTGCATAATTCATAAGACACAACATGGACAAATATTTTTTTTTTTAAAAAATAAAAAGTGTAAAGTATGTATTAATCATGATACCAAAAAAACGGGAGTACCACCCATGTACAAAACTATTTACATAGAAGTTAATATGTTAATAACATTCTCAAAATCCACATTACTAATAATATCATGACTAAGTATAATCGACCTGAATAAGTATATCCACCTATCTATTAGTCTATTAATACTATTTTCAACATTATCAAAAACTCTCCTATTTTTCTTTTTCCAAATGACCCAAAAAACAGTTAAAGAAATAATGTTTTTCATACTTCTTTTTACATAGAAACCATCCCACACCTAAATCTCTCTTTCGACCGAACCTGAAATGACTCAATTAATTCCTAATAAACCATAAATTGTATACCATAAATTATATGCAGTGGGGCACCATAACAGTAGGTGGTTACACGTCTCCTCAGCCTTAAAACAGCAGTAACACCCCTTAACAATAATTCTGCCCATGATTTTCAATCTGTTCATAGTTTAAATTCTTTCCCAGCATGTCTCCCACGCAAAAAAAAACAGTTGTGGGTGGAATTTTGGTCTTCTAGATTAGCTTTACTGGAAATACCAATCTATTCACAGCTCCCATATCACATAAATAATTGTAAAAAGAAGAAACAGAGAATTTTCCATTCTTTTCCAACTTCCAAACAACCTGATCGTTCCTATCAGAAATAAGCTGTGCCTCGAGACACTTCAGAAGATCTTCAAACTCTTCAATCTCCCAATCATTTAAATTCCGTTTTAAATTAATACAGCAGACAATATTACCATTCAAGACTCTGTAGGCCTCCTCAACAGTCATCTTAGTCGTTTGAGCAATATTAAAAATTCTCAGAAAACTCCACCTAAGACACCTATTGCCAACCCAATCATCCTCCCAGAATTTGATACTGTTGCCTCTACCAATTTTCCAGTTAATACACTGCTGGAAGAGTTTCCTCAACATTAATATTTTCCTCCTTAACCCACGCCCATGTGGAATTTTGATTCTGCCATTGTTATTGCCCTGCAAGTGCTCACCCCATCTAGCTTCAATAATCCTTCTCCAAAGACGATTTTCTTCCCCCCAATATCTCCAAAGTCATTTACCTTGAAGGACCTCATTCAATTTAACCATAGAATGCACCCCCAAAGCCCTAAGATCAAGCGGTAATTTGATATCATTCCAATTGATATCCATCGCCCCACAAAAACTTGCATTGAATACTTTCCAATCTTTTTACCACCTTCACCAGTATAGTTATTGTAGATAAGTAATAAATTGGTAAATTCGTAAAGGTGCTCTTGATGAGAGTATATCTTCCACCTTTTGACAAAAAACCTCTTTTCCAACCTTATTTTCAAACATATTAATAATCAGTTCCCAAGTACAGAGGTCCTTATATTTTGCCAAGATATTTAAAAGGAAATTTTACTTCTTTACATCCCAAAATTCTAGCAAAAGGACCAGCATCACTGCTGCCTCCTATTCTGGCCAATTCAGATTTGTTAAGGTTTATTTTAAGACCTGAAACCGCTTGAAAACATAGGAGGATACATCTCAAATATAGTAGATTTTTCAGAGCAGGTTTACAAAAGATTAAAGTATCGTCAGCGAAGAATAGATGAGTTACCACCATGCTGTTATCACCCCTACCAACCGAGACACCCCTCAACAGCAAAAGATTATTCGCCCTAACTAGTAGTCCATTGAGGGATTCCATCACAATTATGAAAATAAGGAGAGAAATAGGATCCCCTTACCTCAACCCTCTTACATGTTGCAAAAAAATTTGAGGGCCCCTCGTTTATTAGAACTGCAAAAAGAAACTGTTGTAATACCAGATTTCATCCACTTTCTCCATTTTGACCCAAAACCCAATCCGTTGAGAATGTAATCCACAAAAGTCCAGTTTACAAGATCACAAGCCTTTTCCATATTCAATTTACAGATCAGCCCTTCTCTCTTGATAGTGATTGCACAAAGAACAAAATATTCATTAATTCCACCAACTCTCCATTGGACAACTTCATTTCTTGATAGATTACCATTTTTAGGCTCGAGAGCTGTTTACTCAATGGCACTGATGATCCTATGCAAGCATAATGTCCCAGTTTACACCCTTTCCATGCCCTACATGGCCAAAAAAGAAGAGTTAAAGTTTTTATTGCAAGACAAAGCTGTAGGATACTTCCTTAAACAGTGACATTAAGAACAACATCCAAAAAAAACTTTAAAAACAAAGCTTGTCAATTACTGGAGAAATGCAGAGGGAAATAAATGGAGAAGTTTGCCAATTACTGAACTTTTTTTATTCAAAAACAACTCAACTCAGAGAATTATTGACCAAGTCTTAAGATCATATGCAAAAATCCATAAGGAGCTTAAGCCATTTTATAGTGATTGAAACCAACTTTGACACAAGATTCTCAATTTTGCATCTGTAGAATATAAAGAGAACCAAAATTTTTAAGCTTTTCATGCAGACTCTACTTATATGAAAGATTCAGAAAACCTCCTAAGAAATCAAGAGTTTCTTCAACAAGTCACAAAAATAGGAAAAGTTGAATTGAATTCACTTGCCTGTATACATAAACATCCTTCTGAAGCATTTATAGCAATGACAGCTAGAATGAACATAGAAATTTTCTTTTTACTCTTAGTCCCTTCATAAACATATTTAATATCATCCCCATGAGTTTACCCTAGCACCAGAGAGAGAATTGTGATAACACCTCAAGATCCATTGCCCATGAACTTACAATAAATCAGCAGGTGTTAGATTTCAGGTCCCATGAATTAAAAAAAAAAAACCTCAAAATGTTGAAAATCATCAGACTCATTCAATTAATTTAATAAAATCTGATGATACCATCAAAAAGAGGGTGGTATTGACCAAATGAAGACGGGTCATCGATTATCATATATATACATACCAGTTTGTTGCTCATTTATATTTTAGCATTAGCAAGTCAATGCACCAAATCCATCTTGTGATGCTCGAAGCTTATTACTGTAGCAAATAAAGCATAAAATGCACCAGATGGATCATAAGCACCTAAAAAATGCTTTCCAAGAGGCCAATTAACACGTTGATCACTTGGCCGAGGAATCTGAAAACCAGAAGTAGGATTTCATGTTATCTTTCAGTTTCCTCACTGGCTCTCTTTACTTCTTAAGTCATTACACTAGAGGCATACAAGTATGGGAGAGAAAAATGTACATGATCACACCCATTATTATAGCCATTTATCATCTTGCATTTGGAACACCGGCTAAAGGTGAAAGAAGGGTGCGAACACACCCTACATGCATATGATGCAACCTTAGGACTAATATCCACACAAGCAAAACCAACATTAACAATCCTAGTACCCGTCCTCACAGCTAGTATGCATATTCCCTGCTCTGCTATGTCTATAACCACTGTTGTTCGCTGCAGTTTTCAGCAGTGATGGTTCCTAAATTAAGATAACCTCATTAGCAGGTACACAATTTGTCCTGAGAATTTAAATTTGATCTACATGCCAACTATTGTTTAATTACCTTTCTCATAGTCTGATATTCTGATTGTGTTGGCTTTCCAAACCTGTCACTTGTTGATTGTCAAAGGTTCCAAACTAAAATCTCACATGTTCTTCTCTTAACCTCTCTAAAGTCAGTATGTGATGTAATCCAAACTTACCTCAGAATAGAATATATATGATGTTGATGCTGCTCCGATTTTTACATTACATAAATTTCAGTTGCTTTTTTAAATAAAAAAAAAGGGCCTTGGGTGATAGAATATGACTTCAGAGCTGGGAAAACTCATGAAAAGAGAACCTACAGAGATGGGAAATCTAATTTTGACACACAGGTGGAGAAACCAATGTTAACATCCTTGCACTAAGCATGCCACTGTTCATTCACAACATCTAGAATCAGTGAGCAATTCTCATCTTCACCAAATTTGCAAGCTTAATGCTCTGAGTGATTGATTGTTGTGCAAGAAACCAAAACAAAAGCAGTTACCCAGCCTCAATAGCAAGTCAGTACTATTACTGTGTAAGCAAGGCTGCATTTTTGTTTTCTGGAATCTTATACCCAATACTTCAAGAGATTTTCTACCACAACCTTACCAATAACTCAATACGGAATTTCCATCACCCATAGCCTTGCAACAACAGCTTCCAGAACTCGCTGTTCATCATAGCCAAGACATCAAAGCGTTTATATTACTCAGTAGCCATAGTAAGATTAAAAAGGAAAAAAGAAACGTTATAGTAGAAGGGTCTGACACCTCCCTGGCGATCACTCTCAGAACACATTAAGCAAGATTAGCAAATATGACCGCAAATGTTCAACAGTTCAAGTACTAAAAAGATCAATAGTTAAGGAGGCCGTCAAGCAAAATAAGTTAGAAATAATTAAATTCAACTAATCATAATATTGATAACTCCCAAATTGTGTACAAAAATTTAATTGCCTTTACTTGGACTGGAGCAGAGAGACATTGCAAACATAACGCAAAGCAAATTATATTATCCAAAAACCTCTAAACCATACAATATGTTTGCATACTTCTCCAGCCCACCGTCCATACTGAAATACATTTCCCTCATCTTCTGGAAGGCGTGCAGCGTCAGCAAGCTATCTGATCCTGCCTGATGGCTCTTCCCAGTAATCCGATCAACTCCCAAAGCCTGGCAGACCCGATCAAGCCCACCATAAAGGCCAACGCAATAACGCAGCAGGTGCTTCACGTCAAAAACCCTAGCCCCGAAGAACACCTTCACAAGGCCTAG